TATTTGAAACGTTAAGCATCCTATCCCAAATATCGAGACATACTTAGGTAAACAATCTACTTAAGAGACAGAACGTCATATCTAATCGTTAATTAGCAAACTGAATAATGGCTACTGTGTAACAGCTTCTAAATCCAAACCATGGGGCTTCCTTATAACTATGTATTCCAAGATTGAGTTAAGTGACACAGTTTAGAACGTACTTCTGTTGTGTTACTAATAAAAGTTAGGGACCGATTTTGGTGAAATAATGAAATATGATCCTTATGTATTGATTAAAAACGTTTTACTAGCAAATGCTTAGTATTACGTCCTTTATACTATTTTAGACGCGAAACTAACTGGAATTATGAAAACAAATATTTGCTTACCTCTATACTATCTTACTGTAAATTAATTATTAAAAAATGTTTTGGATTTGATATGTCTTCTCTTTTTCTTCCAACTAGACCAAAACAAACTCAGAGAACATAGAAGGCAAGTTCAAAAGTCAAGAACGAACAAAATACACATGACTTACGGGTTTTTCTTACCGATTAACCAACTCTTGGAACGTACTAACGGGGAAAGTGATGCATGTACTTCTGACTGACTCATTCAAGAGAAGATTAGACACACAGACAAACTTACTAGAAATGGCCTAACACATACATTTGACCTCCTGTCCTCATTATACAAATATGGATTAAAGTCGAAATATTATTACTAAATGTTTTAGCTTACTGCGACCGCATAAAATTTACGTACCATTTTGGATCACTACTAAGTAATCTTTGACAAATAGTTGGTTTTTTGGATAATAAAAAATTGATACGGTTATCACCATTTTATATGTTCTAAAGTAACTAAATATAGCAAAATTCTTTCTAAGGTACTCTAAACAAATACATATAATTAAAATAACCCATTGCTTCATTGAATAAAAATATAATTCAGAGAAGAAAATTTCCATTTAGACGAAATCATCCACTTAAGCTGTTCATTAGTAAATATATGTCTATAAACAATTATAAATACGAATGTACAGCTTGAGTAAATGATATCGTTGAAACGAAAATTGTCTTCGCTGAATTTCCTTTAATTAGTATATAGTCCAAGAAAAAAAATCTAAATCAACCTACGGATCAAGGTACGATAATTGGGAAAGCAAATACTTATTACATCAACAAATATAAACAGGCTAACGTTCATAAGTAAACCTAATCACTCACTTAATTGCATATACAGTGACTTACTGGGAAATTCACATACAAGATAATTTGTAAGTGGAAAGAAATTATGAGATATTTGCCCAAATCACTAATATAATCATGCTTAACTTTGCAAAGCCCTCGAGAGTTTTGTGATCAGTATTGTACAATCTAAAGCGTGTTATTTAAAATGAGTGGCATTTCCCCTCAGAGTTAAATTTATAGTTCTGATCATTTATTAAGCGTTAACAATACTGTCTTTACTTTATTAAATTAATTTCAGTTAAAGTAACACCAGAAAGTATTGTTTTTTTCAAAGAAATTTAGCACCTGTGATTTTCGAGTACACCGGGATTTTTGTTTGTTGCACTTTTAGATTTAACAGCTCACGGTTTCACTTTTTTGTCATCATTTTTGTCTCTATGTGTTTTTTGTGTCTATTTTTTTTTCAAACGTCTGATTGTTGACTGGAAATGTGCCAAAAAAGTAAGTGCTAACAACCCGGCAATGCTGCTGAGGCAAAAACAGCTTCCTATTCGAAGCGATTTCAGTGGTAGATACTACTAAAAGGCACATTGGAAAGCGTAACCGAGATGAATCAAATGACATTCACTCTGTAGATACACAAATCGATGCGAAGTCATCCCAAATGAGCTGAGTAGATTGACTTACATGAACCAAAAGAGGAAGGACCGACTTCAAAGAGGTCAGTCAGCAACGAAACCTCAAGAAAGGGGGTTTACCTTGCTAAGTTTAGATGTTGGCGAGGAATTTAGAATTTTCGGGTGAGACTTTGACAAAGAATGATACCAAAGCCACTTTGTATGAAGCATCAAGCATCTAAACGATTTATTCATTGAATCAGTCTTAATGTTTCTATTTGAAACCACTTAGTTATGATGAAAAATACAGTGGTAAAACAGACAAACATAGATCATATTGATCCGTTGGTTACGTCAGATATGTTAAATTGAATTAGACATAATATAATCACCAGTGTTTTTATGGTTAAGCATGTAATAGGTGAGAATGGCTACTGATTACTTTAATAGTTGAACTTAAGAGTCAATCTAAGCTAGATCACCATCAAAAACCTAGAATCACTGGAAGACTGTTTCATGTCGTCGCTGTGGTCTAGTGGTTAGGACATTGCGTTGTGGCCGCAGTAGCCGACGTTCGTTCCCTGGCAGCGACATCCTATTCCTTGGGGTGTGACCCCCTAAGAAAACCACCTGCTTCGGTTTAGGCACCCGAGCAGTATCTTAGCCCCCACACAAAGCAATTGATTTATGTGGCGCATATCTATTTGGTGCCTTCTTGTACTTATGTTTATGTGTTTAAATAAACAATCTGAACGATCTTCGGATCTGTTACATAGATGCCTGTAGCTTGCTCAACATGCGATCGGAGCTACGTGTACAGATAGACTCTATCAAGCCGGATGTAGTCGCCGTCACAGAAACTTGGCTGACGCAGTCTGTAAGCAGTAGGTAAATTTATTTAGAAAGTTTTACACTAGTAAGAGCTGACAGAACCCAAAAGCGTAAGACAGGAGTAGCTCTATTCACTAGAAATATTCTTTTTGCCGTCAGTGATATCCTGTGAAAGTGAGACGTGTGAATTAGTTATTTACTGCTTGAAATCCAAAGGACAGGAGCTTCTGATTGGTTTGGTTTACAGTGAGGAGAATTAGGTGTCGCTAGACGGTTCCAACACTTAGTCATTAAGTGGTCGATGTTGTTATCTTGAAAGACTTTAATGCACCCTATGGTATAATGGGAAGGTTCGAGGACTGAGTTATCAGATAATTCTTAAAACAAAACCTAGTTGACAGGGTTATCACATGTAACTTAGAGCAACATGTGAAAGAAGCAACTAGGCACGACCCAAACTCCGAATCATCCTTAAAAGATCTCACATTGACCGATTATGAGGGGGAATCTCGACGACAACCGGATTATTTCCAAAAAGTAGCACGGCTTTAGAACATGTTATCCATGTTTCACAAACCTCCTAGTAGACCGTGGAATTTGGTGTATTTATAGAAATCAAACTTTACCAACGGATGAAGCCTATATTGGCTTCAGTAAGGCTTCCTGCTCTCCTATCATAATCGGTTTTGTTATACACTGACCATGTCAAGATATGGAGAGCCATAAAAAGTAAGAGTGATAGTTTAGACCTCTAAAATGACCTGAAGAAATTATCTAAGTGGTCTGAAACTTGGCAGTTGCCGATAAATGCTTCCAAGTACATTATGATGCATACTGGTCACCAAGATACAGACACATACACGGCGGATAACACTTAACCATCTGTTTGTTGTCTAGGGATACAATGATTTAGAAGTTATCGATCGACAAGACTTGAAAAATAATGCACACTGCCGTGTGATATCCGGTCAAGGTTTTAGAACTCTATAGTCAATACCTGAGGCCTTTAGTCATATCGATGCTAAAATCTTTTTGACTTTGTATACAGTATTCATCCATTCTAAACTCGAGTATTGTATACAAGCGATTAGTCTCTGAATAGAAAGCGATAGTGATTTGTTGAAAAGGGTTCAAAGAACAGCAATTAAGCAGATTCCCAGAATAGCATGGGTGATGATGATAGTTTGGCTAAACTAAACCTAATTCCCTTGTCATATAGACGAACCACAGGTGACCTGATCAGTTTCTAACTACTTAATGATATGTTGGCATCTGATATGTTGTCATCTTTCTTGCCTTCCAAAAGAGAGGATTTACGAGGACACTATAAGGAAGCTCACAAGCCCAGAACAAATAACTTGTCAGCTGACCACTGACCTTCCCATCAAGTCATCAATCAATGGAATTCACTACCTCAACACGTGATTGAAGCTTCATCTGTAGACGCATTCAAAAGAAAGTTGGACCAACTGAGATACCGCCATTCCCACGACTAACACAGATCTCTCAGCCTCCAGTTCTTTTCAAACTGTAACTGATGTGATGTGACGAATGAATTTTTAATATATGTATGAGATTGTTTTAAATTTTAGTTATATAGATCTGATGCACTTAATACAAAGTGCAGGTCAGCTATGTCTAGAAAACTGACCAAGTGCTGGCTGTTGTATACAACTGACAACGCTTGTCAGTCCCTAGATTAGGATATGGTACTCCAATATATACAAGACAAAGTAGCATTCACAAAGAAGCCACCGCGATGAAGAACATAGACTACAGCTTTTGTCTCGACTGCAAAAATTTGGTGAAGTGAACACGCAAAACAAAAAATTACTAATTATCTGTGCCAACCCAAAGAGCTGTAGTGCATAAGCTGTTACACTTTGCATTTGGATACTCAAGGAAGTAACTAAAAGAACCAGACGAACAAATGATGAAGCTAATATTGGCATATTATAGTTTATTAAATGTAATGCACGACGAAGCATCTCTGTATATTTTATCCTTACAATAAAAATATTTGAAAATAAATACCAACTATAGACTCACTTTTGCATTAGGATAAAGTTCTAATAACTCCTTGTAGTATGCACATGAAGGATGATCAATGGCAGCCGTGTATCCTTTGAAAATTTTATGACACAGAGCTTTATCAAGTTTTTTATCCGGTGAATCACTCAATTTCCTATCAAGTTCCATCCATTTCGTGATGTGTGAATGTTGATGTAAGTATATTTCCTTTAAGTGATAGCAGGGCTTTTTATAAAGCAACTCTAGAGCAATTTTCAAACTATTGGTACCAGTACGACCCAGACCTGCACCTATTACTACGAGACCAGACTCCTCGTCCGCACGGCCCATTACCCACGAATGATAAGCCCCACTGAATTGCACACTTTATTCTCACAAGGTCATTTATTCGTTCTGCAATCTGATTGAGTAAAATCAAATTGACCAATCGCCTGATACAATATTGTTGACAGGCGAAACAGACAGGTCAAATTGTTGACGAATGTGACTTCGACATGAAAACAAGAAGCATTTTCCTTGAAAAAGCTTGGACCAGATTGCCAGGCGAAACGTTGGATTTACAAGAAGCATTCAGTTTGAAACGATTGATGGTACCATTATGTAAAGAGCCGTTTCTAGGGAAATGACGGTGAGACTATAATTAAATTACTAAGGTGAGATTTGTTGCTGTTTACTTATGGATACACAGATCCGGCTTAAGAAGTTTGATGGCTAATGTGATGCCGTACAATGACCCAATAAATGTAGATGACTTTAAGCAACCAATACGCAGCAAGGACGAGAAAGACTGATACTCTTTGCCTCAAGGTTGGCCCATGCTAACTAGCCTCGAACAAAGAACTGAAGACTAATGTTCACCACTCCAAGATCGTTATTTAATTCCAGATATTCATTTGTATACACATAAGACCAGAATACGCAGCAGACCAGTTGGGTTACAGTATTAACACGGAACAGCAACACTAATGATGGGAAAACGGAACACTAGGTGCACAAATGATCGGTCCTAGTTTATGAGTGGAAAATGCCATGGCAGCAAATTACGGCTCAACTAAAAGCTTATATTTAGGATAATAAGGAAACAATAAAGCAAAAATACCTAATAAACATGCAGTCAATATATGTAAATCAAATCGTAGAAAAATAGCTTCGAAAGTTTCTACCTCATAGTTAAGCTGTCTTCAACAACAACTACGGCTCAGATGGCGTTAAGAAGAATAGAGTTTGATTATCGATTGATGACTGAGATATCGAAATATATCAACATGATGTCCTGTATCAAAGAGATATCTCGAAATGGCATTGCTTAAAGCCGTTAGTATCACTGAGCTATTGCTTTATGAAATATGTTCCTAGAGTTAAAAAGGGTCCTTTTTTCTGTCGTATCAATTCATTTGGCTTGACAGACACGTGTAAGTGTGTTTCCGTATTTGACAGTAACATGGAAGGAGTACCTGTCAGACTTTGGACGCAGTAAAAGACATATTGTTTTGTACAAGATAATCAGCTTGGCTACAAAAAACATGCTGTTCACTATGGCTTTTTTTTCGACTTACTGTTGCGGCTACATTGTCACCATTGAAATTTAAAATGAACAAAAATAGATATCTTCTTGACTGTGGTTTCTTAAAGTCATTTTTTACATACTGGGTGAATTCCCCTGATATTGCCATTTAACTATAAGTTTACGTTACATTACACAACTAATGTGTTGAAAGAAACTAATTCCCCTAACTTCACATTATAGTGTTTTGTACAGAATAACATGACAGAAAAAATACTAAATGTGAGTGATTTTTATCATTTCTCTTCATTCCTTGCCATAGTAGTTATTGTTTGTAGGATTTTAAAAAAGCATGTATCATCTCTACTTGTGTTTATGAATCATTTACGAGACTTATTATTTACTATTGCATATCGTAATCAATGAACAAAATTCCGAACCCAAATTTGCCTTCATAAAACCTTGACGAATATGAAATAACTGAAAGCTTACAACCAACTACACATTAAGCTGAAGTTTAGTTCTAATCCTAAAATCCATATTAGATATATCACGCGTTGAGAGGTATCTAATAAACATGCAGTCAATATACATAAATCAAATCATAGAAAAATAGCTTCGAAAGTCCCTACCTCATAGTTAAATTGTCTTTAACAACAGCTACGGCCCAGATGGCGTTAAGAAGAATAAAGTTTGATTATCGATGAATAACTAAGAGATCACAGTATGTCAACGTGTTGTCCTGTATCAAAGAGTTATCTGAAAATAGTATTGCTGAAAGCGGCTAGCCTCATTAACGTAGGACATTTTGGGATGTGTTTTACAATCAAACGTAGGGCCTTCCTGTCCTGTCAATGTAACCGGCTTGGGAGGTACATGTAAATTTGTGTAGGCAATTGTTTGTAACATATGACCGGTAAACGATGGAACTTCACCACCTACTTAGATCGGGTATGTGGCTTTCTTCACTGTAAGACTTTTACTCGTATCTGCAAAAACGAGTCGCAACTAGATCATCCCTAGGTTAGCCTTGGATGAGAGTTAGTCGAAAATTATGCTATTAAGGTGAACTTTCTGAGTAAAAATATTTCCTTGACTGATGATGTAGGGTGTTATGACATTACTTCACACAGAATACCGTCTTCGAGTTACAGATACATAAGGAGTGGTTTTCCTCACCGCTAACCGATTTGGACCTTAATCTGTTGCATCTAATACGACAGAATAATATGAGTAACATTTATTGAATGTGGAGACTGACCATTGTGATACCGTTAATGTATATTCAAATGATAAGTTATTGACCAACTGGCCCTTAATACTTTGTTCAGATTACATAAACTCTAGTGTTAATCTGACGTCAAAAACATCATATAAAAAAGTGTATTCAGACATCAGCTTGATTTGTTTTGGGGATTAAATAAATCCTTACCACCTGTCTTTATTTTCTAACCGTGCGTCATTATACTTGGAGTTTCAGTAACAATTATGAGTCTGTTAGGTTTTCCGCAGACTTAATATTATATTATATTCATTCGTGGTAGAGAACCTATTTTGACCAAGTCGCCAGCTACGAAGAATCACAATTCAATGTGACCTCAATGTTCCTATGCTGTCTGAATGGTCATTCGGTGCTATCTAATCACCGAACCTATGAAGAACAAATGAATTGTGATAAACTTTCACGTTAACGGGAGATTCTTCCAAAATGAGTGTATCTCAGACACTAAAGATACTTTCCAAGACGTGAATTAGGACTTGTACACTTCTTACTGATCACTTCTGATTCCGTTTGATATATATCAGAGCCTTTATTCGTGTTGAGTTCCAAAGTGCATGCCTTTACGTGCAACACGAGTTTTCCTTACTATTGTATATAAGCCAAATGCCGAGGGCAGGGAGAGTCAGCTCTCCTCGAAATGCTCTCACATGGCCACGTGCATACAACCATTGCCATGGAAGTCCTGTATCAAAGAGACATTCCGAAATAGCATTGCTTAAAGCCGTTAGTATTCACTGAGCCTACGTTTAAATCCGATTTCGTCACTCAGTTGCGTCAATACTGTGGGTTGGTTCGTTTACCCCTTGAAAGGATTATGCAATAGGATCATGATATGTTATATGACTACCTATCAGATTTACTTTGAGTCTTGACGATAAACAGAAGAGGATGTTGTACATGCACCCAAGAAAAACCTTTTAAGCTATTCTAAGGTGTAGCGAATGGCCAACAGTCCGTTTAAGTGTCTCTATACACACTAGATACGTACGTGGCACTATGACATTGGATGAACGTTCGTACCATCATCCCTAAGTCACGATCACATGGCCATGGTAAGTCACGGAGTCAAGACCACGTACCACTGCAACTTAAGGGCTTAGAATCGTCTGGGAGTTGTGATGAACTTTAAGATAGACCAACACATGTTCACCTCGACAAACGGAGCCTTAGTGTAATCAAAACTAGGTAATTGTATGCAGGCTACAAGACACTGTTTCGACGCGACTGAGAACTTTTGAAGTACAGAATATCGACAACCACGAGTGTAGCTTATCATACAATGAGCGACTTGAGGAATCGTATCAAGTATGTGGATTAATTACGATGCATATATTGCCAAAAAAGAATTTTGGACATGGTACATCTTCATTTCTTTTAGTTGTCATGAAAACTCAGATTTAGTGGAAAATCTTAGGAACAAGTGACGAAAAAAACCCTCAGGGTATACAGGTTCCATCAAGTAATCAAGCCTTGGAAAGTACTGAACAAAGGAGTGCTGTCTGAGCATCAGATCGATACACCGAAGAGAAGACTCGTGATATAGTATATGATCAGGTTATACCACAACCAAATGTATGGAGAGCAAACATAACAGCTATACAGAAGTACGCTGTAACAACGGACTGGTCAGTAAATAACAGCTCATCGACTGAAAAAGCATGGTCCACATGGCTTAGTCACGTCCCTGTTTATACTATGCTTAGAACCACGTAGACCCAATAACTCCCCATCATGGGTAACTAGAGGTCCAGAAAATTCTTTGAAGTAGGGAGAAGCGTTAGGATGTGTTTATCTCAACAGGCTCTAAACAGTGCAGATCCATTCATTATAAGACTAGGAACTCATGCACAGCGTTGATAAGTAAGGCTAGACGTTTGTATAAAAAACAACTGATTAAGGGTTGTGACAACAGTCCCAAAATATTGTTCACGCATACAAAGAGGCTAACTCAAAGTGATGGGATCCCACCACTTTTGGTACAAGAAAATCCGTCGATATTGGCAAATGATGTGACAGAAACTGGGGCTTTATCAGATTACTGTAGTAGTGTTTTCTGCCGACGATAGTGAAAGACCATCAATAAATTGTAGTAATGGAGACTAGTCGATGGGTCCTCTGGTTATTAATAAAGGAGCTGCTGTTAGAGATGTCTCACAATTACTTCAACATCTGAAACCAGATAAGTCCAGTGGTCCTGACGATATTCATCCCAGGATTATGGGAGCCCTGGAGGATGTAATTACTGAACCTCTGGCGATACTGTTTCGTATGTTTGAGGTAGTCAAACCTGCTAACGGACTGGAGAAATGCAATGATCAGTCCGGTTCATGAAGTACGGAGCAGAAACTTATTAACTATCAGTCCGTTAGTTAAACCAATGTAGGTGTTAAACTAACGGAAATTATTTTTCGGATGGCTATTTTGAACTGTGTAAAAGGGAGTGACTCTTTAGCCAAGAAACAACATGGTTTAATGAAAGGCTTTTAATGCTTGGAGAATCTGCTCGTTGAAAGAGGAGATTGGGCTGTGGTGAAAGACAGTAGTATTCTGGTAGATGTAATTCT